TTTTGTTTCTGTCATGATGATGATATCGGTATTCAGATCATTGCAATATTGTAGCCAGGTTGAGTATTTAAGGTTTATGTTAATTTCTTGGACATTATGAACAGTGATTCCTAATTGAGTGTCTGTATTTCTTTTAAATGGGGGTGGAGATGATGAATTAGGTGTATCTTTATTAGTAGTTATTTCGTCCAACAGTGGGTTGGTGGGTGTGTTTGTTTCACTTATCATGTATGGGTGCGTAGTTGTCAACTATATCCCAGTCTGGGGATGGTAAGTCTGGTAAATCGTGGATGTAGTTGGGTGTGTAGGTGAAGTTGAAGTAAGTGCTAATGCGATCAAGTGTAATTTCGATTTCTTTGTGATCCTTGATTGGGAGTTGTAGTTGTAATTTTGGGTTTAATTCTGTGAGTTGATTTTGAAGATCCTCTATGCTTGACAGTAATGCTGGTTTTGTATGTTCACTGGATAACCTAGGATTTTTTTTTTCTGGGATTTGTATCCAGTCTGTTGGTAGTTGGTGGAAGAAGTAATATGTATGTAATTCGTGGGCTATTGCGACTAACTACTTAGGGGATGTGATAGGTATTGTTAAATTCATTTCTTTAATTTGGGTATGTTCTACTAGTAGGTTTGGTTTGTTAGTGTAGTTGACTTTAACGTAGTTAATAGGTAATGGATCTGGTATGCGGTATTCATTTTGGATTTCTGCTAAAAATTGCAAGGCACTTATTTTGTCTTTAATAGGGTAATTATAGCTTCTGGTTGTGATTACTTGTGAGGGTTGTGGTGAGAGTGATTTCTTATAGATAATGAAGTCGCTTGGAAGCTTTTTAAATTTATAATGGCGTCGGAGTTTGGCTACTAGGTCTCTAAGTTCACTGTCATTCTTGGGATTGCATGGGAATAGGTGCCTGACTTCTTGGATGAGTGCTTGGGATGTTAAGGGTAAGTCGAGTTTTTCAGGGGGTAGGTCGAAGTATGATGCAGGTAGTTTGTCATTTAATATATAATGTTTTTGAAGTTTTCTTCTGTATTCTGATAAGAATTGTAGATTGGCTCTGTCCCTAATTGGGAAAAGATTTCGTATCGAGTGGTGTACTTGTCCAGAGTGGCTGGGCAGGGGTGTGCGAGCATTTTCGAAATATGAATCTGGTAAGTTTCTAAATATGTATACTAGTCTTAGGGTTTGGGCAACTGATGCAGTTTTGTAGTTATCTTTGATTGGTAAAGTAAATAGTAATATGTTTGCTATATCTACTGGGATGTCTTCGGAGAGTCTTGGTAATTCTAGCCTGTTGGCTGATTGGGTTTCGCTAATTATGCCTTATACTTGTTCGAACTGCATGGTTG